GGGGTGGGCAGGGAGAGGTTGTGCGTAATGATATAAGACCTATACAGCATAAATGCGCAAGTGTAAACCTTGTTGTTTGGCACAGTCTCCGCTCCCAGGCCATTGCCGACTGTAGCAACGGCCACGGCTGCCACCGAGGCGCCCTCCAACGTCGATGGCAGTCACCAGCGCGATGCAGAGAGGCCGTTGGTGCAAATGAGCTGTCTTGGCATCCGCCCATGGAATGCTTGTGTGTGTGCGCGTGCGTTCGTGCGCACGCACACACACACACTCGCCTGCGCGCACGAACGCACGCACACACACACACACACACACACACACACACACACACACACACACACTCGCCTGCGCGCACCCACCTCGGCATCAGCGCTTGCACGTCTGCCAGCCGCTCCCGTTCCCGCTCCGCGAAGAACGCGGCGTCAGGACGACCACGCATTAGCAGCTGCTGCGCGCCAAAGAATGTGGACATGCCCGCCTGCCAGGCGGTCACGTAAGGGGAGTGGGACGAGGGCAGGGTTGGAGAGCCGCGAGGCCGGATGCACAAGCGGCTGGAATAGCACTGACCCGTCAGCCCGCCGTCCCAGGTCCGTCCGTCCGCCGCGAGCTGCTGCAGCGGCGCCACAGCCGTCGGCAACGCAGGCTCCAATGGAACTCAAGAACAAGCAGCCGCATCAGTCAAAATCACACCTCTGCCAACTGCGCCTCCCGCAGCACGGCACCAAGGACGCGACGCCGCTTGACGGCATCTGCAGGCCGCGCGGCGCCGCCTTCTTCTTCGCTGGCGGCGGAGTCATCCGACCATCGCTCTGCCTTGTGACGGGCATCAGAGCCGCTGGTGGAGCACGCGCCACGGGTGCTGCCGCTGGGCGCGCCTGCTGCTGCTGTGAAGGCGCGCGTGGCCGTGACACTGCAGCACTGCCACTCAGCTGCGCGGCAGAGAGGTCGGCTGCTCAAAAGCAGCGCGTTGGAGGCGCGCTGTAACGCTGGTTGCATGACGCTTGATTGCGCGTGGATTCAAGGTACAATTGAAGGACGAGCGCCGAGCGCGGGTTGCGATCTTGCATGAACAGCACGCTCGAATGGACAGACGTGAGAGTTGCGTATAAGGGTCAGGTGTGCGAGCATGTGAGCTGCGTGTCTGTCCACCCAGGTCTGCGGGTTTTTGATTCTGCAGGGTGACACCAGACGGACTACTGGACGGTATGCTAGTGTCGCAAGCGTCCCCCCGCCGTCCGTTCTCTACCAAGCCAACTGCATCGCAGCTGACATTGACACAAAGCACTTCACCAGTTGCGTCCAGGGCACCGCAGCGCGTGCCTGCCTGCTAGCCATGTCAACTGCGCCTGCCTACCAGTGTGCTTGCATCGGCTTCTGTGTTGTAAGGAAGTTGGACCAACGCAGATGTTGAGTCACACATATGCATAAACTCCACCGTAGCATGCACGCAGTGACGATAAGTGTGTTACCGCGATGCGCCTGGAGTGGTCATCACATAGACACCGCACACGGCAGATTTGGCAGGCAGCAGTATGCTCAAAGCGATTGCAGCATCCCCGCCTGTACCTGTTCCGCCGGTACCCTTTGATAGACTGAATCACTGGCGCGGTAGGCGGCAGGTCGGCCAGGGCAGCATGACACGGCTTGAGTTGGAGTCACCCGGTTAAAATAGGTGCAGCACGGGTGCAAAGTACGCGAATGCTGGGGCTCGTGTGCGTGACTCGGAGGCGGGCCGCTCCAGGGGAAAGGGATCGAGAGTAAAGTGTGCACCGCTGTTAAAGAGGCGGGGGACGTGCAAGGCAGAAGTATGGTCAGTGGGGCAGAGCCCAGCGGCTCTTGTGCATCCTCACACCATGTATTGATCCCTGACTTCAGCAAGACGCGCCAAGAGCGAGACCCCCCCCCCGCACGCACGCACCGTATATGGTTAAGGTGTACGTACAGTGGGAGTGGGTTGTTGAGCAGCACCTAAGGCCAAGTTGGCACGTCAAGTTGGCAGACCTGCTCCTGGGCAGCTGGGGAGCAGCCACAGCAGCTGGGCTCGAGGTGCCCAACATCCTCCCAGCACCGCACAGCCCGAACACGATTTGTCTTTTTAGTGCTTCCTTACATTAACCAGAAGTATTGGAGCCCTACACAGAACGCACAACACCGACGTCAAGTCGACACATCATGGACTCGCGAAGGAGCGACGTCGTGGGCGCGTTCTACGCCTTGATCATGATTATGTGGACATCCTCGGCGAAGCTGGGATCCCTGCAGCTGCAACCCATTGGTGTCGTGGGTGGGGCTGGCTCGGAGGAGGAGGAGGAGTCCCAGAGGGAGCACGGCGTCGCCCGGTGAGTATTATACGACGTTATTGAGATCTTGTAGCGTGTCAAATTACCAAACGAGGCCTGAGAGGGGTGGTTGGCCTGCGGTTGGCGTGGTAAATGCGGCCACATGCGAGCCCGGCGTGGCTTTCACCGCGTTGTCAATTTATTGAAATGACCACAGCTTTTGTCGCGCCCAGAGCACAGCCCCTGCGGCGCGCTGGCATCGCCATGCAGTCCCACCTTCCACGCCATGCTGTCGCCCCTCACCTTCAACGAATGTGCCCTTCGCCACTCTGAACCCCCCAACCATAGGCGTGCACGCCGCCAGGAGCCCAGGAAATCCATCTTCAGCTGGTTTTGGACGTCACAGCCTCGCCACGCAATTCGGAACCTTGACTTGCGGCGACGACGCCCGCCCGACCGTCTCAATCCACATGGCGACCCTCCACCGCCGGCGGCGGACGCCAGCACCCCTGCCGCCGCTTTTGCCGTGGCTGTTGGTGGGGCGGCAGTGGCTCTGCTGCAGCAGGCCGCCAGGCGCGGCCGCGCAAGCTCCTCAAGTGCGGCGGCGCCCGCTGCCCGCGGCCGCCGCAGCGGCGGCGGCCCCCCAGCGTCTTCCGCCTGCCCTGTCCCCCGGGGACTCGGCTGCGCCTCCCCAGCCGGCCGCCAAATGCGTCCAGAGGAGGCGAGCCGCCTGCACCCACTGCTGACAACGGCCCTGAGCTCGGCCTCAGAAGGCCTGAGCAACAACGTGGCGCCCGCGCATGCAGCAGAGGCGGCGCAGCGCCGGGAGTCTGCTGAGCTCGACGTCGACGCCGGCGCTGACGCCACCCCCTCCAGCAGCCTGTCCGGCAGCACCAGCAGCGGCGACCTCACCCCCTGCCTGCTCATCAGCGACAGCTGTGACAGCGACAGTGCCGCCGGCTCCTCTGCCGCAGCCATCAGCTGCCATTCCCTCACCACCCAGACCAGCGTGCCGCTGACGGAGCCCTCCCAGCACCAGCCAACCCTGGGGAGCAGCAGCCCCTCCAGCGGCAGTGCGGTAGTCAGCGTGGTTTTCAACATCTCACCCATCAAGCTGCACCTGACTGTGTCATCAGTGACGCCGGCGCCGCCGCCGGCGCCCGCCTGCCGCGAGTCGCCCGAGGCCAAAGCAGTGGCCACCAACACGCCTGCAGCGACGGCCACGGCGAGCGCTGGCTGCCAGGCCACTGTCCAGGCACAGACGCTGGCCGTCGACGCCTCAACAGACACGACAGTCATGATGACTGTGACCCCCACCAGCCGGATCCTCGGGCCCATACGCCCCACCAGGATCCCCGCCAGCCCCAGGGACAGCACCGCAGCCCCGTCCCCGCCGTCCCCTGCGGCGGCGGCGCCGCCATCCTCTGGCGATGCACCCGCGTCGGCGCACCTCATGGCGCCCGCACCTGCCAGCGAGGTGGCCATCACGCCCTCTTCCGCGAGCCGCGCGGCCCTGGAGCTGCTCATGCAGCGGCGCGCCTTGACTCCCCCGGCGCCCGCCGGGCTGCTGCTGCCCTCGCCAGCCATGCCGCAAACAGCCAACATCACCCCTGCAGCACTCGACCTCAGCCTCTGCTGCACACCGCCGCCGCCCGCCAGCGCCGGCTGCGGCGTCTGCGGAAAAGCGGGCGCGCGCGCTGAGGCGCAGGCGGCGGCGACGCGGGCCCACGCGCAGCACGAGCTGGAGGCCGCCTTTCGCGTGCACTCTGCATCTGAGGCGCGCCTGCAGCGGCAAATTGAGTCCCTCACGCAGCAGCTGGCCGAGTCGCGCCGCGAGGCCGAGGCGCTCAGCCGCGCCGACGCCGCGCGCCGTGCCGCCGAAGCGGCCGCCCTGGCGCTGGGGGAGCCCTCCTCACCCATTCTCGACCAGCTGGCCGCCGCCAAGACTGGTGGCCGCGTCAGCAGCTTCTTCCAGCTCTGCGGCGACGGCGCGGCGCAGGCTGACTGCGCCGCTGCCGCGGAGGTGTTGGCCGCACTGCAGAACACCCTGAGCTTTGCCCAGGATGTGGTGGCAGGGGGAGCGCTGCTAGTGGATCGCGCGCCCTGCGGCTCCACACAGGAGGAAGAGGAGGCGCGGCATTGGCTGGCTGCTGGCAGCTGTGGCCGCAACAACACTCTCAGCATGGTCAAGTGCATTGCGGCCCAGAGCCTGGAGGCGAGCACCCTCAGCGCTGACGTCAGCAACAGCAGCGGGAAGGTGGAGAGCGGAGGCTCTGTGGTCGTTCTGCACACGCCACTGCGCACGCGCAGCAGCAGGGCCATCAACAGCAGCGGCACCAGTGCTGCTGCGAGCAGCGGCGCTGCGTGCATCAGTGGCGCCAGCAGTGGCCTCAGCCGCGGCCCTTGTGCCGCCACGAACTCGGGCAGCGGCAGTGGCGCCGGGGCCGCGGGCGGCGTTGGCGGGCCCGCCCTGAGCCCTGTGCCCGAGGAGCGCCTGAAGGGCGCCCGCAAGCCATGTGCCCCTTTCCTGCGTCGCGCCCTGAGCCTGGGCAGCTCGCAACCCGCTGTGCCGCGCGAGGCCCCCATTGAGGTGGCAGCAACGCTGCCGGCGGGTGGCTTCGACACAGTGCGCTGGGGCCGCTGCATCTCTGAGCTGGGGGCGCAGGCCGCCAGCAGGGTTGCGGCGTGCGATGAGGGCACCCAGACGGAGTGCACGAGCCACGGGCGCGGCGGCAGCGGCCGGGTGGAAGTGGGGTGGCTGGGGGCCCGGCTGTCAGTGGCCAGCAGCAGCCTGGGCGCAGTTCCTCTGTGAAGGTGATACCCCCTTCTGGGGTACACAGATGTCGACAGCTGGCTTTGTATTGTTGTGGAGGCTGTCAATCGATATTGCATGTAATCTTTGGTGAGGCGTGTGCAACCCCTGCATGTGTGTGGATGGGCACCAGCTGGTAGCAAAGTTGTGCACACTTGCAGGAATGCCTGCCACCTACAGGTCTATCACCGCCTTGCTCACAACCTTGTTGTAACATTGACATAGTTGAATCATGGGTTTATGCACGCCAGCTGGCCAAACAAAACTGTCGAGACGAAAGCAGCGTAGAACATCCTGCAGGAAGAAAGCGCCACAAACGTCACTGCATGTTGGATACATGCCCTATCTGCATCCTCAGTGGAACCATTCACAGCTGTACAGCCATCAAACACAAACTGTGCCAGCCGGCACTAAACAATTCAGCTGATGCAGCGCACGTGACGGCGTTGTTGCGCCCTACCTCGCCCGCACGTGCAGAGCGCCACCTGCCGGACGCCCCAAAACCGCCTCCTTGGGCCGTCCCGAGCGCTGGCGTGGCACCATCGTCGCCCATCAGGTGTCCGAGCCCCCCACCCTGAAGCAGTAGTGTGGGTTGCGCGTCACATCCATGCGCTCCAGCCCACAAACATGCGGCAGAGCTGCTCCGGGTCCTGGGCCTCTGCCAGGAGCGCGTCCACCTGAGAGGTTATGTGGGTGTATGAGTGTGTATGTGTGTGTTAGGCAGTGTGTGTGTGAGTGTTTGTGTTAGTTTGTGTGCGTGTAAGTGTGGCTGCGAGTGTGTGTGTGTGTGTGTCTGTGTGCGCAATTGAGCGTGTGTGTAAATCAATAGGTGTTTCAGCTGTCCAGGGCAGGTTGGTTTGGGAGCTGCGAACAACTGCGGCAGCATGCACGCGAAGAGCCAGGGCAGCCCTGCCTGCTGCTGAGGCAGGGCGGACGTGCATCAAGCCCCAGACTGCAAATGCGTGTGACCAACACCTCACCCACACACCCCACAGCCAAAGAGAGAATAGGCTGCAGGCCGGCCCCACTTGGGCACTGGCCGCATCCGTGCCCAGCCCAGCCCAGCACCCCCACCTGCGCCGCCACCCCCAGCGGCTCCCCCTCCCCTCCAGCCACGCCCTCCAGCTTCTGCTTCACCCGCAGCACGGTGCGCGCCGCGTCCGCGTTGCCCAGCGCCTGGGCGGAGCCGTCGCCGCCGTTGCCGCCGCCGGTGCCGGCCCCGTCGGCGTCGCCGCTGCCGCCTGTGACGGACGGTTCGGGGAGGCTGGGTGTTGCAACCTTTTCAGGCTTGAATCTGCAGCCTCGCAAAACAGGTGGTGACCCCAGACACGCCTCGACACGGCCATTGCGATTTGGCAGCAGCAGCAGCAGCAGCAGCAGTAGCAGCAGCAATGAGCCCTGTGGTACCCACCATCCGTTGCGCCGTCCCCTGCGCCCAGGTCCTGCTGGCGCCGCTGCGCCTTTACAGGGTTCATCTGCCACCTGCAGGTGGCGTGACAGGGGCCGACTTGATGTCATTTAGGAGAGTGGGCTGGGGAGGTGGGGTGCGGTGGGCAGGTCCCGGAGAGCTATTGAAGCGTCGTGAGCCGGCCAACCGCGTTCCCTCAGCTGCTCAAAGCTCGGCTCAAACCGCAGATGCACATGTCAAACGAAATGAAGGCACAGGTCTCCCAACGCAAGCGCTGCAGGCTTGTACCGGCGGCTGCTGTTGTCCTGACAGGCACCCGCCCCCCAGCCCGGGACGGCTCGGCACAGGACAGAGGGGGCATGGTAGCACTCCCGGGGCCCGCGTCCCCCACCTGTAGAGTGGGTCGTGCAGGACCACCTCCACAACAGTCAGCAGCGCCTCCTTGTTGCGCCGCAGGACCTGGGAAACAGGTGGGCGGGAGTCGGAAAGCTTGCACCACAGAGCGAGCTGACCATGCGGCGCACACGCGGATGATGCGCCAGGGGGCTCGCAGGACGTGATGCCAGGCCAGGCCTGGGCAGCCCATCCATGCTTTGGGTGAAAGCATCTGACCAAAAGCAAGACAAAACCCTCAACCCTCAACCCTATAATGCTCAGGTCTGTGACGCTCTTGACTTTGGGCCTTTTTGGGCGCGGCCCGCGCCCACCCGCAGCGTCTCCTCGCAGCAGCGCCGCATGGGCCCCTCCACACCAAACGCGCCCATGCCGTCCACTACGTCTCTCGTCAGCCGGAAGGGCACCTGGCGGTGTGTTGTGGGTGTGTTTGTATGTGTGTGGGTGTGAGGTGGGTGCATGTGTGTGTGCATGCGTGCGTGCGTGTGTGTCTGCGCGTGTGTGTGCGTGTGTGTGCAGATATCAACAGAGCTCAAGTCTGGCGACACCCTTCGCGTGCTTGCAGAAGCCAGGAGAGCTGCCTGGCAAGCCAATCCCCCGATGTTCGTCTGCGGATGAGAGTAGCCACCAACAGAACAGCAACGGCTGCCATGGCCCTTGCCTGTCCACCGCTCACCCGCTCCTCCCCACCTTGGGCCCTCTGGGACCCACAACTTGCCACCAATCTCCGGCCCCTCCCACAGCGACCCACAGGCCTGCGAATTTTCACCCACCGTCTCTGGCGTGTTGAGGAACATGCCCTGCTCGAAGGCCACCCCCAGGTCGATCTGCAGCACCGCGGCGCTGCTCTTGTCCAGCAGCATGTTGCCCAGGTGGCGGTCCCCTTTGACCAGGTGCGGGGCGGGGACGGGGACGCAGATTTCAGTTGGGGGTTGGGGATGCAGGGTGATAAAGCGTGCGTTGTGTTGGTCGCATCTATACGTATTCTCAATTACGGTGTTCAAAACGCCTACAGCAATCCGTTTGACCGAGTGCGGCTGCGCAGTACAAGCTGCTGAGCAGAAACACCTCGTGCATGTGTTGCTACACGCGTGCGCGTGCGCCGGCCGTCCAGTCCGCTCACCCAGCCCGATGACGAAACCCGCCATGGAGCTGACCGCGATGGACCGCGTGTATCGCGTGCGCGCCTCGAACCAGGCCGCCGGCGCGCGGAACGCCTCCAGGAAGAAGTTGTGGAAGACGGGCGGGAAGCGGGACAGGCACTCGAGGAAGGAGGGCAGCAGCTGCTCGGCGGGCGCCTTGCTCATCTTGTTGTAGCAGTCGAACCAGGACCAGCCGCCCCTTGAGCGGTAGCTAAGGTGTGTGAAGGGGAGGAACGTTTGACAATGTGTGTGTGTGTGTGCACGCGCGCGCGCACACATGTGCTGAGGCTACGCAGATCAGATCATTATCGCGCAGATTTTGGCAATCCCAGCGCCTGCACGACCCCCAGCTTGCCCCAGGACCCCACCAATTCACCCACAGGCCAGCAGTGTGATGCGGCAGGTGCAAACAATAGGACGATTCCCGCGGCGTACTCACCGTGCATGTGCGCCGCTCTGCCTGTTGCGCCCCGCCAGGTAGTCGGCCATCGGCACAGTGTTCTCCACCCACTGCACCAGGCCTGGTGCAGTTTGTGATGCGGTGGTGTTGGTGGTGCATGTGTGTGCGCGTGCATTGTGTGTGCGTGTGCGTGCGTGTGTGTGTGCGTGCGTGTGTGTGTGTGTGTGTGTGTGTGTGTGTGTGTGTGTGTGTGTGTTTATTATTATTGGCAGTTCATTTGACACATGGCGTGTAAACGTTGGCGTGCTCATCAGAGGATTGTGAAACGCGGTTGGCAGGCCCCGCCTTCCTGCTGCGCGCCCATTAGAGGTGGCCCCGCCAAAACACGCACACTTACACACACACACACACACACAAACACACACACACACACACACGCGCGCGCGCGCGCGCGCACGCACGCGCACGCACACGTGCGCACACACACGCTCTCTCTCTATTTCTCATGGGCACAGACACACACCTGCTGCGGGGCTGATGGGCACGACACGGTACGTGCCCATGCCCAGGCGCCGCGCCGCTGCGTCGGGCGTCCCTGCCAGTAGCGTGTTGACCAGGCCAAAGAACTGCTGCATCACGGCGTCCTGCGGGTTGGGTTGGAGGTGGTTGTCACGGGGATGAACGAGGAGAAGAGTGGTGAAGGAAAGCCCTGTGCCGGCCCAAGGGGCATGCAGCACTTGCGCTTCATCATCCATGGAGGCCGCTCTGAGGAGCTTCCGGGCCACGAGCTAGGCGGCCGCCCCTGGAAACTCGACGGGCGGGGAGACTGCAGAAATCCAAGGGGGTCCGGATAGGCAGGGAATGTTTCGCGGGGATGTGTGTGTGTGTGTGTGTGTTTCGCAAGGCACCTGCCGCATGTCGTCGTTGCCGCTCTTGACCAGCATGCGGTGGGACGCCCCATCAGAGTCGGTGGCCTGGGGGTGACATGGTGTGCGTGCGTGTGTATGCACGTGTGTGCGTTTTCATACGTTAACTGTGTGTGTGCGTGTGCGCATCAATGTGTGCACTGATGTGCCAACGTGCACGCTTAATGAAATGCACATGTTGACATGACAGGTTAAACCCAGCACGCCAGCGCCGCGAGTGGCTGGCGCAGCCACCGCGCGCGCGCACACACACACACACACACACAGACACACACACACACACAGACACACACACACACACACACACACACACACACGTATGCACCTGCAGGACCTTGGGGGCATTGATGCCGCCTGCATGGCCCACGCGCGGCCCAAACTCTGTCAGCGTCGGGACGTGAGCGTATGCGCCGCTTGGGTCCAGGGGCAGCGGCGCAGTGGGGACGGGCACCAGGGTGAGGCTCTGCAGGGGGCCAGTGCGTGGGGGCGGGCAGGGGGGCGGGCGTTTGAGCGGGTGGTTGGGCAGGCGCGTGGTTACGTGGGTGTCTGAAGGTGGGTGCGCGAGGCGCAGCTGACCGGGCAGCGAAACTGGGGGGCGGGGCCGTCGCGCGCACAGCAGGCGCCGACCTGCAGCCGCCGCTTGATGGCAGCGGGGAAGGCCCAGCCGTCTGGCGGGGGCGTGGTGCTGCCCTTGGGCTGCAGCTGCATCGCCGCCAGCTCCACAAAGCCGGCCACCATCGCCTCAACCTGCCTGCGGCGGTATACAACACAACGCAATGCGTGGTGAGTGGTGCAATGAACTTTGGAGGTATCACCAGTGCTGGTGTGGCGGCAAAGGGGCGGTGCGCAAGGACGCACAGGGCCTGCAGTGGGCGCAGTGCGGCGCTCACGGGCACGGGCAGGTGCTGCCGTTCTGCGGCCGGCCGTGCGCAGCTCACTTGAGCAGCTCTGCGCGCTGGGGGTTCTTGGCCAGGCGGGCCAGGAGCGCGGACGCGGCTTGCACCTGGGGCGTGGCAGGGCGCGGGGGGGAGTCGCTTTGCGGGAGCGCATCGGTGCAGATGAGGCAGGAAGCGCGCGAGCACCTGCCACGACAGGGGCACTCGCGGCCCCTGCCATCCACCAGCCTTTGCATCACGAACCCTGCTGCTTGCTTTCAAAGACGGATGATCGGGACCAGCAGCCGCGACAAACGTGCGCGCCACGGCGCAGGGACCCCATTGGCCTTCACGCAACGCCCAAACAAGCCGACGGACGGCTGGCGACCCACCAGTGACCGATTGCAGACCAATGCGTCCCCAGCCCAATGCCCCGCCCCGCCCCGCCGCACCTTGTCCATATCAAACTCCTGCCGCGCCAGCACCTGCGCCCCCGCCGCGGCGCCGGTGGGCACGGGCTGGCCGTTGCGGCCGAGGTTGCCGTTGCGCAGGGCGATGAGGGAGTAGAGTGTGTGGTAGGGGTGGTCCAGGGCCATACGCTCCAGGGCGCGGCACAGCACCTGGCAGGGGCGGGCGAAATGAGGGCGGTTTGAGGGCTGTTTGAGGGCGATTTGAGGCCGATTGCAGGGTGATGCAAAGGTTTGAGGGGGGTTTGAGGGCAAACAATTAGGGCGGGGCCGGGGGACAGGGACGGGAGGCAGGCGTCGCGGTGGGGCTGGGCGCGGTTGGAAGCTGCCCTTGTGGGGAGGCACCAGGGGCGGGGCGGGGAGCGGGCGGGCCGATGGGCTGGCGTGCGCAAGCACCGGGGAGGTGCGCGGCAGTGGGGTTCAAGGGGGCATGCGAGGTTCTGGCTTTATTGGTTGGTGCTGAAACGATATTAAATAGCGGTCCATGAAATGTTCGAGACCGCCATCATCCTCCCTCACCTGCTGGAAGGCCTTCTGGTTTGAGCCCTGCTGGCCTGCCGCAGACTTGGCGCTCATGCGGCTCGCGATCTGATAGGGTGTGACGTGTGGTTTTGGGAAGTTGCATCTGGGGTTTCAGGGGAATGAGAGGCTGCCGGGCTCACTTGCAGCGCGCGGTGAGATGCTGGGCCTGCGCGGAAGGCAGGCCCCACTAGAAACACAGCCTCAAACCCTGCTCTTCCCCTGATTCTGCAGAACCCTGCTGCACGTCACAGTCAGCCAACAAAGGTCACCGCTCGCCTCTTGACGCGCAAAAGCCCACCTGGTACACCAGGGGCACAAATTTGGCGGAGGGGACGGCCTCCACCACCTCTTTCACGCGCCGGTTGACGTGGGGCTCCTCACTCAGCGCCAGCCACAGCTGGCACAGCCGGTACACGGCCTGGGCAGGGGTGCCAGACATGCCCACACGCGCGTTTGGGGCCTCGACAACAACTGGCGAGTTTGTGACCCCAAGTGTTGCGCGGGTGGCTGCGCAGCCGTCGAGCCAGCCGCAGCGCGTGTTTGGGTCGTGCATAAAGAGAAGTGTGTGGAGCGGCTAGGCGGTGAGTGAAGCTGCGCCGTCCGCCAGGTCAGCGCGGGCATAAGCCACCCACCGCCAGGTCGTGGCTGCCGCCGGCCTGAAGGGCGCGGCCGTAGTTCTGGAGGGCGATGTGCAGGGTCCTGCGGTCCAAGATTAAGGAGGCGGCGCGGGAATGAGGTGCGGGGGAGAGGTGGGGCGGGGTGAGGGCTCTGCTGCCTCGGTTGTGAGGGTGAAAATGCTTGCCTGGGCAGCGTGCAGTGGCAGCATGCCGGGGCAGCATGCCAGGTCAGCGCAGCGTTGTGATTCAGTGTAGCGTGCGCAGGTTCAATTATGCCTGTCCGGGCGCGGCCTGATCAGGGTTGGACCAACAACCCCCGGCATTATCATTCCACAGAGCACCCTGCAGCGAGTCCACCAGGTGATCGTTTCGTAGACTGGCAGCGGGGGCCTCACCTTTGCGCGAGGTCCTGAAGCTGCTGGGTAGCTGCCTCGTCGGCACCGATCACGCGCTGCAGCGCGTTGATGCTGATCAGGCAGTGCCGCCGCGTGACCTCGTTCAGCCCCGGGCCGTTGAGGCGCGAGTTCCAGACCTCCACCTATGAGGGGGGGGGGGCGGTTGTGAGGCAATGGTGACCGGGTTTATGGGTGGTGATGCTGTGCGTGCGGTCTCTCATTGGCCTGTTGACGAGCAGCAGGCGAGGCTGCAAGGAGGAAACCAGGCTCTGCGCGCCGCAGTCACCTGGAGCAGGGGCGATGAGCCGTAGGAATGGACAGCGCGGTCGTGGTGCAGTGCAGCAGGGAGTGCCAAAACATATGTGTGAAGGGCGCTTCGGCCCGGCCCCCCCCCCCCCGCGCACCTGCCGCCGCTTTGCCGCGATGACCATCTGCTGGGTGCGCCACTCCGGCGACGACATCTGCTGCTGCGTCTGCCTGCGCGCGCGTGCATATGTGTGAGATGATTGTGGGAGTGAGACCGTGCTCTTGCTGCATGGGAGGAGCCTCGAATCGCTGGCCCCCTGTGGACATAGCTGTGGCGCGCGCCTCGTCCCGGCGCTGGACCGCGTGCAGGCAGATGCAAACAAATGAATGCTGAGCCGCCGCGGGAGCGTGACACAATGCATCAAGCACCCCGTCAAGTGCACAGGTTCCCTGGAGGCGTTGGGATTGCATCCCACGGCCTGGAATAAGGTTGCACCAAAGGGGATAGCATGCAGAGGGAACAGGAGGCCAGTCCTTCGGGCGTCCATCGGGCCCCGATGCTGAGTCAGGCCACTCACTTGTACCGCTCGTCCGCGAACGCGGCCAGCCTGAAGAACACGCGCGCCGCCAGCTCTCCCTCCCCGCCCCCGCCGTCCCGCAGCGCGTCAGCGCCGCGGGCCATCAGCTCCATCACGGTCGCCGTCTTGCCGCCGCCATGCTGCGTCGCGGCCGACCACTTGCCGGCCAGGGACAGCATACGCGCCAGCTGCTGGTGACGCGGCGGCTCGCCCTGCTGCTGCTGCTGCTGCTGCTGCTGCTGCTGCTGCTGCTGGGGTGGGCCGTCCGCAGCCTCGACAGCTGCTATCAGGGAATGCAGCTCGCGGAGGGCGCCGGCCGCCTGCCCGCGGTCCCACATCAGCTTGACAGCCTCAAGCAGCCACGCAGACTGCGGCCGCAGCATCGGCCTCCACCACGCGCCCGCGCCCGCGCCCGCGGCCCCGCCGGCCATCGCGGCGAACGGGCCCGCAGTGGCTCCGGCGTCGGCGTCAGCGGCAGCGTGGTTGCGGATGAGGTGGCGGACGCGCGTGAGGGCCGCGTCCGCGGCGGCGAGGTGGCCGCACTTGCGGGCGGCGCCGGCGGCGGCCTGGAGCGTCACCACCAGCACGTCGGGCCTGAGGTGGCGGCGCCGAATCACGAAAAGCAGGAAGGACGAAACGGCAGCAGTGGGTTGAAAGCTTGCGCCATGGCACGGCCGGACACATTGCAAGGCAGGGTGCAGCTGAAGCTGCAGGCGCGCGGTTTACATCGTTGCATTGCCCGGCCGATGTTCAACCTGCGCGGTCAAATCACCGGCGACCGCTTGGCTCGGAACCGGGGCGCCGCACCTGCCCAGGATTTGCGCCACACAGGCCTGCAGCGCCAGCAGCTGGTCTGCTTGGTGGTAATCTCCAGGGCGCAGCCGCAGCGCGCCCGAGCCAGCCGCGACGCCCTCCGCCGACGAAGCTGCGCCGCCGAGCGGGCCCAGCAGGCGCCGCAGCAGCTGCGGCGTGGCGCAGGAGGCGGCCGCGGCCGCGGCGCCGGCGCCACCTGCGAGGCCGGCGGAGGGCGACGCAGCGGCGTCGCTGGCGCACTTGGCCCACTTGATGCGCCAGGCGCGGCGCAGCAGCTCCAGCATCTGTAGCCGCACCTGGGCAGTTCGCAAGCCGAGGCAGGAGACAGGTGGGTTGTGGGTAAGGCATGGTGAAGTTCACGCCACGAGTTTGAACACGTTGCCAAGATTGAATAAGTCAGGTCGAGCGCGTTGGATCAGTCAGGCCGCCGGCCTTTGCGATTGAACCTGTGTCACACAGCTGGTCAGCCCCAGACAGCACCAGCACCCAGCAAGGCGACCAGGGCCAGCCATCAAGCCTGCCGCCAGAGAGGAGTCCGGTTGAAAAACCCGCCCGCCCACCAGGGCATGGTTGACCGTGACTGCGCTCTCGTCCCCGCTGGTAGCCAGCGCGCCGACGGCCGCGTGCCGCGCCTCTGCGAGCGCCGCCCCAAACGCCTCCCCGTCCCCTGCGCGCAGCAGCTGTAGCGACCGGAAGATACCGGCGTGGAACCCGCCGGCGCCGCCGCCGTTCCCGACCGCCGCGCCCTCGCCGCGTGTGCCTGCCACTGCCGCTTGTGCCGCCGGCGCCGCGAGCGCGCCAGCTGTCCCCTGTCCTGCAGTGTCCCACTCGCCTAGCCGCCACGCAAGCTCAGCCTGCGCCTCGCGCGTCGCCGAATCCGCAGCACACGCGCCACTGCTGCCGCCAGTGTTGGCCAGACTGGATTGGAGGTACCTCTGCGCCGTGTGGCGGCAGCCCATGCGTGTCAGAGCCCTCAATAGGTCAACAGCTGTGCCCCCGAGCCCCGCCCCTGCTGGCGCCGCAGCAGGGTGCTGCAGGCGCTCGTCCGCGGCGGCCAGCACCTCGGGCCAGCGGCCCTCGCACTGCTGCAGCCGCAGGCGGCCCGAGGCGCTGCCCAGGATCGCGGCAATCGCATAAACGCCATCAGGGTCGTTGATCCTCTCGTACAGATCAAGCAGCAGCGCCTCAATCTCGGACAGCCGCGAATCCTCGTCAGAGGCGCCGACGGCGCCGCCCGGGTCCGAGGCGGCGCCCGCCGACGCCGGCCGGCTTGTGCGGGGCGGCTGAGGGGTGGCCAAGTGCTGCGCATTGCGGCGCCCGCGCTGCTGCTGCTGCTGCTGCTGCGGGGCCTGCAGCTGCGCCTGCGTCCCGCCCGGCAGCAGTTCTGCCAGCATCGACGGCAGCGCGGGCGTCGCTGCCGCCCCCGCCCCGCTGCCTAGTGCATCCTTGGCGCCTGCGCGCGGCAGCGCGACGCCGCCGTGCCGCAGCTCGCACCAGCGCTCCACATACACGAGCGCCATGAAGTGGGCGCCGCACGCGTCCGCAGCGCGCGCGACGGCGGCGTAATCGGTGTTCAGTGCGTACACCGTGTCCCAGTAGTAGGGGTGCAGCCGGTCGGCGGGCGGGCGGCCCTTGGCTGCGGCAGTTTGGGGTTGATTTGCAGGCGAGCGGGGCGAGGACAGGTGTTGGCGCACTTGGACAGGCTCCCTTAAACCGCGTTGTTCCAGGGACTGAGCCCGCTCCGAGACGGCGCCCATCCCTGCAGCACCCCGGCGCCCGTGGCGACGCACGTGCTCACACAAGCGCACACTGATGTTTACGCGCGCGCGCAAACACACACACACACACACACACGACCTCGTGCACGCAAACACACCACCTCGCTCCCGCCACCATGCGTTAGACTCCACAGTCGGCCTGAATTGGGCAGCGCCTGCACCGGCGCGCCCTCACCTGTCAGCTTCGAATCCCGATGGATGCCCCTCAAAAACTCGAGCGCCCGCAGCAGCACCCGCAGCCCCTGCCGCGCGTCGTCCGCGCCCGTGCCCGCGGCTGCACCCGACGGCCCGCCGCGCGCCGGGCCGCCCCCGGCGGCCCCGAGGCTGGGACCTCGGGACAGGCTGGCCTGCAGCGAGGACGTCATCGAGCGTCCCTTCGCCTGGTCGACAGACCCCGACGAGCGGCCCACGTCGGACCCTGCAGGGGGAGGTGCTGCGGCGCCGGCGGCCGCGGCGGCCCCCTCCAGGAGTGCCGCCTCCATCGCCGCGCCGAGCTCGGCCCGCGCCTGCCAGGGCGGTAAGCCGACCGGCCGCTCGTCCGAGTAGCGGCCCGCGCCCGCGCCCACCACCTCGCGCAGCGCGTGCGGCAGCAGCGCCGCCGCCACTGCGGGCAGCGCCGCCGCGGCGGGCGCGAGCAGCCGGAGCAGCGGGTCTCGCGCGCACGCCGACAGCAGCGCGGACGATAGGCGGCAGAGCCACGCGCCGTGGGGCGCCGGCCCGGCGGGATTCCAAAGGGACGGCTCCGACAACTCAACCCCCTGCTGCTCCTGCGGACCGCCGCCGCCGACCTCGCCCTGCTGCTCCTCCTCATTTTCAGCCTCAGCATCCCCACCGGCGCTGCCGGCGCCGCCGGCAAGGGATGACAGGTAGCAGGGCACCATAGCTCGTGCAGCCGCCGCAGCATCGTCCCACCCGGCCGCCTCCCACGCGCGGTTGAGGGCGTCCTGCAGCGGCCGCAGCGCGGCGCCGCCCTCGGGCGTCGCCAACAGCGCGCGCGTGGCGGACTGGACCGTCCCTATGACTTCTGGGTCGGGGCCGGCCAGGAAGCTGCCCAGCAGCTCCAGCACCCCGAAGAGCATCGCGTCACGGCGGGGGTCCCCGGTCACTGACGCCGCGCCGCTGGCCGTCAATATCGCGGCCGCTCCGCCGCCGGCGCCATCAACGGCTGCAGTCGAAGCAGGGCCAGGACCTGTGGACCGGCTGCGCTGCTTTGGCGCGGAGCCGCCCGCCGACGCGGGCTGGGCCAGCCCGGCCTCGTCGTCGCCGGTCGATGACATGTAGATGACGTCATCGCCGCCCCCGCCGGCGGCCGCAGCTGCCGAGAAGCTGATGACGTCGGGCGGCAGCGGCCCCGCGGCCGCCAGCAGGCGCGCGGCCAGGCCAGACAGCCCTGGGTCGTCCAGACGCGCCCCCAGGTGCGCCAGCCGCCACGCGGCCGCGCACACCCCCGGCAGCAGCCGCCCCGAGACCCGCTGCTCGCACGCGCCGTCGGGCGCCGCCCCCGCGTCGCCGGGCGGCCGCGGGGCCGGCGGCGCGAGCAGCGCGTCCTTGTCAGCGTCGAGGCCGCGCTCGAGCGCCGCGAGCGCGCGTCGGCGGCTGGCCGGCGGCATGCCGGCCGCGCGCGCCGCAAACATGGAAACCTCCTCCGCAAGCGTGACCCCCGCCCGCGCCGCACGCAGCGCCGCGTCCGCGCCGCTGAGCGCCGGCAGCGCCGGCAGCGGGCCGAGCGCCCGCATGTGCGCGTGCAGCGGGTCTGCAG